TGATTGCAGCCAGAGAGGCTAATTGCAAACCCAATTAACTGACTTGGGTCCTTAGAATAAGGTGCACGAGCCTTTGCGTCTACAACTAATTGTGCGCCTGACCTGATATCGTGTGGAGAATTCAGTTTTGCCTTCTCAATTTTAGCAAAAACTAGAGCCAGAAACAAGACCCCCTACTTTGCAATGTTGAGTTACACCAAGGTGTTACAGACACAGTTTTCACACACTTCCCTCCTGTACTCCCTCCAGCCCTATCCCTTCAGGAAACTCCCCTGTAATCAACCTTACAGAGACGCCTGATAGAAGAATCTCCAAAAGTAAACATCTGAAAGTACTGGTAATGCAAACTGAGTAATAAAAAAATAGCTTCAAAGGAAAGTGGCTTAAATTTTCAAAGGGCTGGCTTACATGGAAGAATAATCTGTTCAAAGAAAAGAGTGTTATTTTAAATTTGGTATTAAAGCTGGTTTTCTTCTAGATTTCACCTATTCGTTTTAAATAAATATATAACAAAGAAGAAGTTATTCCCTCTTGCACTATTTTTTGTTTGTGAACAACAAAAAATATTCCTTTTTAAGGAAAACCACTCATTATGTATTTTTAAGAGTTAAGAACATCTCAGATATTTTTCTCAATTTAATATTTAAAAAGACCAATTGCACATTTTCACAAGAGAATAATACTTGGGCTTTTATCATCTAAGATTTGTTTCTACATTTTTGTACTTTAGGTTTATTAAATGACTTGTGGACATTAAAATGAGTTGAAGTAACTTGGGCAGTCATCTCATATCTATTCCATGGACAGAATTTTTAAGCTATACTTAAAAAAAAAAAAAAAAAAAAAAAAAGGTGTAGCGTACCTGTCTCTTATTTACTGCTTTCCCAAGGAATACAGGAAGAAAATTTCAGCTAAATAGAATGTGGCTTCTTTATCTCATGCACCCCGACCTTACCTACATAATTCATAAAAACAGAAATGAACGAAAATAAAGCAATTTTTTTCTCTAAATATACCGCAAGAAAACCAATCTTGTCAATCTAATAATTTCCTTTCTGGAGTTAGGAAGAATTCGCTAGTCAGAATCAGCCGGTAGGAATATCGGAAATCATTTGATAGGAATAGGCTCAGGCTGACACGTAAGTAGGTTGTAGCCTTGCCCTCCTCTTTCCATAGGAAATTTGCTGTAGAATCTCCCTGGAAATAATTACACCATGGTGCCTGCCTATTGGGACTGTATCAGCATATTTGAACACTTAAAATACAAGCTAGGTACTGATAACTGCATAATACGTTACATTATAAGTATTCGATTGCCATGCAATTTTGCACACACTGACATAATTGCATTTGCAAAACCATGATCACAGAAAGGAGGGCCTTTCAGTGATGTTTTCTACTAAAAACATTTATAATGTATTTTTAAATTATAGTTTGATAATATGAATATTAAGAAAATGACATATTACAAAGTGACCTCTTTAAAGGGGGTGGTATAATTTGATAAACTATTCTATATTTCAGGTATTATCCCTACATGTAACAAATATTTTCGCTATTTTTAACCTGTAGGAGAAGTGGAATGCTACTGACAAATGATCCAAAGAAACCAAATGGTGTTATAATTTTTATAAGACGATAAAAAATCATCCTTTGTAGAACAGATAGGCTGATCTCTTAATTGGATATTGCATATTTTTATCATTTTTATTAATGAAATATAATTATAACAAAGCAATCTACCATACTTCATAGCAAGAATAGAATACTGGGGTCTATTTTAAGCAAAATCTATCAGTCAAATAAGAAAGAACTGTAACAAAGAACCCTAACTCCTCTAGAAAAGCCAGAGGTGTATATAAAACCTGCAAAGTAATTCTGCTGCTGCTTTCTTTGGTCATGTTATTTCCTGTACTTTTTATTTAAAACCCTGTGCTACTTTATTGCCGCATATCATTAGGTGCCCCTCAAACTCAGTGGCATGTTTAAATATATCGACATTAAGTGAGACGTGCCAAGTACTGGGCTCTGAGGCCACGAGCAGGTATTGGAGGCCACTGCCAGCCCAGTAAATCCCCAGTGATGAGTTCCCCCTCTCACTGGTACCCTTCTATTAAAATACAAAGAGGAGACATATTGAGGTCGGATTTTTTTCTTTCTCTATGTAACGTCCTACTTCACTGGCAATTGATTTAATGGCTAAAGTTAATATACAGAGTTAGGCTTCATTTTTTTTCTCTTTCTGTGCAAAGCATCCTTGGGGTTAGCACAATTAGTGGTCTCGAGGACACTCTGTTCCATAGAAACTGTAGATGCTCTTATTGTGAAGTTCATGCAAATATTTTTCAGCTGATCTGTACTGTAACAAAAGCCTAAAAGGAAAGATGGGGAAACTTACTTTTATGCACACCTGACCTTCTGCCAAACTGAGAAAGCCCACAAATGCTCACCAGACAGCTGCCTCCTAACTGTACTCCCTTTTCCTGGGAGCTAAGAAGTGGAGCTCAGCCTCCGTCTGCAACGGGGGCAGGGGAGAGGACACAAGCCAGAGTGTAGATCTGAAGGCATATTTTTACTGTGCTTCTACACATGGTCACTTCTCTACTTCCTGTTTTCAGTTGACAATTCAAACATTAGATCAGCTCTGTTCCTTCCGCCAAAGATGGAGAGACACGTATTTCAGCAGGTGTATGGAACCCATAGCCCAGCTATGGAGTTGACACATAAGTTCCTTGGGATAAATGCACTGCTGGGATCTTCCAGACAGCCTTTCCTGGGAATATCTTAGTCTTTTTCTAAATCAAGAACAAAGAACACTTATATTTTCTAATTTATTTATAGCCCAAACCAAAATTAAAGCATATTTGTATTCGTCTATGTCAAACAAATTAACACTCCTTCCCTGCTTAGACCAGAAGGGGTCCAGAGGCCCCGCACTATGACAATCTCCGACTGGTCTTGAACCATCGAATGTTGTACTATAATACACAAAAATAGTATTAAACTGCGTATCAAGGAGTGCCAGCACATGGGCCTTTCCTGAAATGAATGAATATTAGGATATGCTGTAAGATGGATATTGTGTGTGCTAAATAAAATATCAGGTTTATAAACTTTATTTTCATAAAAATCTTAAAACTTGTTTTTACTTTTTGGTCAGTGGATTTTTTAAGCATTGTCTCAAGACCACTTTACACTTCTGGCGATCACTAAAGATCCTAAAAAGTGTTGATTTAAGTGAATGGTACCTATCATTATTTGCTGTATTAGAAATCCAAACTGAGACACTTTACAAATATTTATTAACTAATAACCCACTATGAATGTTACCCCAAAGTAACATATCTTTATTAAAAATGCCCTGTTTCCAAAACAGAAAAATTGTAGTGGGGAAGGCGGGAGCGGCTGACAAACTTGCAAATCTATGAATACAGCATGTTTGCAGCCTGCTCTCTCTGTGTTCAATCTGTCATACATGTTGTTTTGGTTGAAGCGTATGGAGAAAATCCAGAGCTGGATAAATATTTGGAAAAGAGAAGAACATTTTATGGCCTCTTCAGATAATTCTGTACATCCTTTTTTTGTTTCATACTAAACTCAGAATTGGTAATATTGTCTGTTGCAATGTGGATCTGCAGGCATATGAATAAACTTTTCATGTTTTAGGGGCTGGGGATTTAGCTCAGCAGCACAGCGCCTGCCTGGCAAGCGCAAGGTCGTGAGTTTGATCCCCAGTATCGGAAAAACAAAAAAACAAAACAAAAAAAACTTTTCATGTTTTGTGACTTGTGAGAGGATAGGTTGAAAAACATCTTAGGATCATTTTGCAAATAGTTTTGACCTTGCAGATCCCTGAAATCATTTCAGAACCTATCCCAGTGTCTCCAGACCACAACTTGAGAATCACTGGCTTTGGCTGTGTGGAGTGCCCAACCAACCACTGACAAAAAACTGGATTTTTTTTGTCTTTTTGAGACAGGGTCTTGCTATGCAGTGCAGGCTGGACTTGAGCTCACTTTGTAGCCCAGGCTGGTCTCAAACTCACAATGATCCTCCTGCCTCAGCCTCCCAAGTGCTGGGATTACAGGCGTGTACCACCACAACCTGGCCCAAAAAACTGGATTAAGAGAAAGTCCTCACCTTAGGAAGATTCATCCACTTCACCATTTGGTTTGAGAATGTTTTCAAAATTCAGTAAATACACCTGTTTTCTGATTCTGGTAGCAAAATTTCCTAATTCCCTTCGGCAGCCCGTTCCCCACAAAACATCAATTTTATTTTAATTAATCTGGCACTGGACATAGTATATAAATACCCTGGACAGAGCTCTCTGTTCCTTTCTCTTGGTATCTGACTTTCTTGCTCCCGAGTATCTTGTACTTTCACACTTGCACAAGTAATTAAAACCCGAGCATAACTGTAACACACACATCACCATTATCTACAGTATCACAGGATGTTGTCTTTTGTGAGGTACGTCATACATCCCCTTTGGTTTTTACCACTTGAAGAATACCGAAGTTCTTCTGATTGAATTGGAGCAGTCGCCTCTGTAATAATGTCGCTCTTGCTCAGTTTGTACGCAGTACGCTGCCTTAAGTGGAGGAAGAAGGATGAAATGCTTGTTACCACTGCCATAACTCTGCGTGTGCCACTGGGAGAGTGTGGTACACTGAACATTACCCATCATGTGTTTCAAAACGGGGCAGAGGCTGAGAACTCCTGCTCCAGACCGATCAAACTGGCAGGGATAAACTACCGTCTTGGGCCAGATGGGATGAATTTTAAGTGCTGGATAACCAAGAGGCTGTTGTTAGTGAAGTCCTCTGCCTTGACTGCGTTGTAAGGAACAGGTCTTGGAGACAGAGAGAGAGACTCAGAATCAGCCACAGGGCAATGAGCCACGTATTCAAGAACATGCGATCTGTGGGATAGAGAGGCCTGTCACAGAGGCACAAGCAGCACCGTGGAGGCCCGGGAACAGCCCAGCTGGTGCTCTTGGGGTTCTGTGTTAGCAGTGAAGGAAAAAAACAAGGCCCATCTTCCGCGTGCAAAGAAGCAATTAGCATCGCCTGATAGGTGGGTATGCAGTGGGGGGTGGGATGGTGAAGATGGAAGCAAAGACAGAGACGCGATTGGCAGTAACCACTGATGAACACGCTTGCTTCCGTCAAGGAGCCAAAGGAGTTGAATAACTTCAGAGAGGAAGCTCTCTGGTTATGATGTGGAGGTAGCAGTCATGCGCTGCCACTGCTTATGTGAGAGAAGATGGAGCACTCTATCAACCTGGGCGTGTTTTGCACGTAATGAGGACAGCCGTGGGGAGAAATGCTGTACTCCTCTCCAGAGCGAGGGGGAAGAGCGAGGGGCCCTTTCTGCCAGTGCTGTTTTTCCTGTGCTGAGGAGGACCTGGACAAACCTCCAAATCCCACTTTCCATTCTTTGAGCTGACCAGAAATCCTCTAGATCCGAGAACCCAAAGGAGAGGAAGACAGTGGGGAATCAAAACAGCACATGGGACAAAGAGACCATAAAAGAGAGATTCTTTAGCGAGGCTCTCAAACATGTTTCGTGCACCCTCTGACGGTGGAGCCGGCAGTCTGGCCGCAGGAGCTGGAAGGAGAGGCACAGACATGATAAACAAGCCAGCAACGGGTGGTGGCAGAATGGGCAGAGCGGAGTGCAGGGATGCTGAAGAAACGAAGAAAGAGTAGCGCAGGAGAGTGACAGAGGGAGACTGGGAACCCTCTCAGAAAAGCGCTGCCTGGTGGGGATGAAGACCGATAGCTCCAGGGCTAGTTTTGTGCTTGTCGTGATAATAACGTCCCTGCGTGTAAACGAAGTTCCTTTTGGAAATTTCTGTGTGGCTCAGCTGTAGTTGGGAAGAAAATAATAATAACAGCAGCAACACTTATTCATACATCTCCCGTGCCAGGGATCCTGGCCGTGTTCCCTCTTTCATTCAGAGGTAAAAAGAGGAGCAGAACATCGAAGAGGGGCTGTACTTAGCGGGAGCCAGGAAGAGAATATCTCAGACTTGCTGGGCTTAAAGCAACACAGATTTGTGATCGGATAGCTTGAGAATTGACAAGTAGGAGAGCTATGAAAGTCAGGGTATCACAGAGATGCGTTCATTCCCTTTGAGGCCCGCTTCTTTCATCTTTAAAGCTAGGACCATTGCGACCCTGTGTGCTTTTCTTCTGTAGTTACATCTCTAACCTCCTACTATTCTATCTCCCTCCTCCCCTTTCAAGGACCTTTATGATTAACGACCTCAAGGTCAGCTGATTAGCAATTTTAATTTCATTCGCAACTTCACTATCTAGCCTATTCGCAGCTTCATTCTCTAACATATTCACAGGTTCCAGGGATTAGAATATGGACAACCTGGAGGGCTATTATTCTGCCTACCTCAGCAAACTGAGAATTAAAGTAAGGAAAGACTCCAAAGCTCTTTGTCCTTTCTGGAGTTCCCTAATCTCACTTAGAGAGTCAGTTTTTCTTCTCTTTTCTCTCATGTAACTAAATTGATCACAAGAGCTAGACATGTGGTAGCTGAACTATATAATGATGTGCAGGTTTGTGTGATCTGGGACAAGACACGAAGCACTTACCCTGATTTCTACACGTATAACAGGGCAAGGTTAAAGGTCTGTCGAGATTCCTCAGGGTTCTTGTTCTGACCTCTGAAGCAACCATGTCTTTGTAGATTATAGCCCAAAATTCAGTGCCTGTACCACTGGACATTTCTTCTGAAGTCCACATGACTGTTGGTGGTTCCCTGGTTAAGTCTCCATTGTTTTTAAATATGCTGGCAGCGCTGTTGACATCTTTTCACCTGGATATTCAACACCTGTACTGTGCGGATATACAAAACATGAGAATAAAATTGATTCTCAATTTCTGCTCTAGTAATGTTGCATTTACTGTATTATTTGTCATGGAATATCTCTACTGCTTATCACAGAATTTGTTGTTGGTGTGTGCTTTGGAAGTCCGCATACCTCAAAGCATGACAATATCTTATATTTATGCAGCACTTTACAGTTTACAAGATTTCTTCATATCTGTTATTTCACACGATCCTCCATGTGCTGCGATTGTTAACATGCAATTCTTTAAAATGGGCATATCGGTAAATGCGTGAGAGTTGTCAGGCCTGCCATAATTCTGCAAAGATATTTTCACACATCCTTGATCAGTGGTCACAGAGGTACCAAGTAATTTGTTGGAAAACTGACCTCAAGAACTTGAATGAAACACAGACTTAGTCTCTCCCACGCTGCATTTGCGGCTACAAAGTGATCAAACATCTTTTATATTTTAAATTGGACATCATCTTAATGAGACATCTTATACTACCTTTTATCTTTACTTTTGAAAGGAAATGCATTCTTGGAATGCACTTAGGCTCTTTTCCTAACCATACTTTATTCTTTAGGCATTTTCCTTACCTTCTCGTAGGGACTTGGAATTATTTACAATGCATCTTTATAAACATTTATCTAAATACCAGTAGACTTGAACAAATGTAAAATCCCAAGAGTTCCCGTATTACAACCACACGTAAAGGCAGCATTGAAACTTTACCTGTCTGTATCAGTGTTTGTATATGGAATGGTTCTGTAACAGCCCATTTGGCCTTCCAGTTCTTTAATTCTTAAATTCATATGCATACAGCAGAGACACTTTTCAGTGAATCCTAAACTCATTTAATTTCAGGACATTGTCTAGTGTTTAAACACTGACATCAAAGCAAAAAGCCAATTATCAGAGTTCATTTGTTCAGAAACTCTATTCCCTGAATTGCGATAGTTGTTCTCATGCCGAGGAGGAGATCTGCATCATGTCTTGAAGATGTAGTGTATAAAACCCCGTCAGCCACAGCACTTGAACTTGAAACATGTGTTTGGGCTCACTGTCCACAAGGAGGCATTGAAGCATCTCTTCAAAATGTGAAAAGCACTTTTATTTTTTTAAAAAAGTTGCACCTTCAGTGGCTGAATTTCATAGAAGCAATTAGACTGCGTGTGAGTAGGTGTGCCTTTTAAGTTCGTGTTTGGATCCACTTTTAAGACGTGATATATTAGCGCAGAATGTTTCTGCTGCTGTTTGTTCTGTAGCAGATTTTAGACAATAGTGATCCACACCCTTCTCCCTCTGCTGTTTCTAGAAAGCGAACTGCAGGACATTTCTTCAGTGACAAAGCACCTGCGTTAGCCTTCCTTGCCCTTTCAAGGTGAAAAGTTCTTTTGGCCAGGAGTAGAAGCCTATTTCTTGGATATGACAATTCCTTAAATACATAATCCTGACAATAAGGGGTTTACAGGAAATATATGTGTCCGTTTTAAGTGTTTCTGTCACAGAATCCACCTCCAAAGGGCCTCAGGCACACAAGTGCAAAGGCCAAAACAATGTTTTGTAACCTGAGCATAATGTTGTTATGTTAAATGTCAGAACATTTCTCCGTGTTTTTGTAATTTGTTAGCGTGGCAAACCACAAGCCGCTCTGCTGCAGAATATAAGACTTAGCATATCCTTCCAGGTAATGCTTACTTCCCTGAGAAGCAAGGACCGCATCCTTGGGAGTTGTGTTGCTTCTGTAAAATGCGGCAGAGACATTTTTGTCCCTGGCAATGTGGACGGTGACATTTTGAAATTCTCACGTGCCGTTTTGCTATATTGACCTGCTCTTTCCGGGCTTTGACGCTTTGTTTGCCTTTCAGGATATTCCCAGCCCGTGCGAGAACATATTGGTGATTTGAGCACACAGCAGAACATGCAGCTGGGGAGGCTGTGTGAAATCTTAGGTACAGTAAATAGTTTGACACAAATGACTCTTTGCAATGTTTATCAGTGAATATTGATACAGTGTTTCTTTTTATTTATTTATTTTTCCTCTATCAGGAAAAGGCTTGAGTTTCTAATCTGTTTTTAGGGGAGTTGAGTGTTGAAGTAACAGATGGATAGTGAAATCAACTTGAATAAAAATGACATTTTAATCAATTACTTGCGCAGCTTACTAAATTCTCTTTGCTGAGGGTTTGGATAAGGATTTCTCTCCTGTACACCAGAATCTTCCTTATGTATTGAACCTTTGCAGTGACCGAGGCCAAAATTTTATACTGGCAGCGAATGGAAGGTGGTATCAGAGATGCACCCTTGTCTTTTCATTGTGAGAATATTGCAAAATGAAGATAGATTTTAAAAGATGCTATTCTGTAAATACAAAGCATCTGCTTAGTGGCAAACATGAAGTGCCTAGTGAAGGGAATTCTTAGGAATACAGCACTTGAGTGAGTGAAGGGAGCATCTCTGTGAAAGTCAGGTTCTGGTACTGGTTTGGGCAATCCTCAGGCACCAGTCTGGATCCAGAAGAGCAGGAATATGAAGATGATCCCTCTGGCTGATACTATTCGAGGCCAGGACTCCAGTCAGACTTAAACAAATAGGTTGTAAAGACTAAGAAATAACCTTGAGTCAGTTTGTGAGAAACAGGCCCAAAACTCGGGTGAAACAAACATTGGATTTTTTTATTAGTTACCAAAGTCACACTTCTCTGTTTCATTAAACTATAATTGCTTTGGCCCTTATTTAAGTAAAACAGGGGGGAATTTTTAAATTACCAGTGACCAACTTAGCCAGCTCTCTGGAATGACACAGTTTGCATGATTCATATATATTTCAGCATCATTATTATTTTATAAATGCCATTTGATAACAAAAATACATCAGTACTAGAAATTTACAGAGTCCTAAAATAATAATAGTATAATTGCTTTAATCTATTATCTAGGCACTAATACTGTTTTTGGCAGTACAGAAAATTTAATGACTTGAGGTTGACTTGTTAGTGCTGAGCTGTTTCAACGAAAAACCTGACCGGATAAAAACCACTGAGGTGGGGGCTGGGGATTTAGCTCAGCGGCAAAAGCGCCTGCCTGGCAAGCGCAAGGTCGTGAGTTCGGTTCCTGGTACCGGAGAAAAAACCAAAAAACCA